AGCTCCGCTTGGCTATAGCTTGCATGTCTTACTCGCGCCTCTTTCCACTCTTTCCAATCATCGGCACTTCTTTTCATGCGGAGTATCCATCACGGCCGCGATCCTTCCGACATTCCGCGCCGTTAGAGGCCTAGGCTCATGGTGCACCTTCACCCCATGCACTGCTAGGAGGTTATCTCCGACCATGACGAATCGCCAGGGTACGCTAAGCGACTACTTACCCGGCTGAAAAAGCTTTAAGTCGCGCAATGTTGGAATCTGAATCTTTTGTGTTCCTTTAGACGTTACGTCCATTTCATTTCACATTCATGGCTTCAAACGAGCCAGGCCTTGCGCCTCTCAGTGCGCCGGCTGAGGACCCTATCAAAGGAGCCGTCGGCGTACCCGTCGATACAGACACCCCCGTTGCACCGGACCAGTTCGACGAACGTTACGAGACATCGAAGTGGGAGATCTGGTCGTATTACTGGTATGCAAACTATTCCAGCGAGGGGACTGATTTGGAGCGCGGTACATTGACTGTGCTGAGGCTGACATCCTATTTTCGAACAGCTACTACGTTGGAGACAATGGCCTCACTCTTTTCAACTTCGGTCCGACGGCTTTCCAAAACCTCATGTATGAAGCTGCAGGAGACTCCGAGGTGCTGTACTTCATGGGCCGAAACCGTACCATCAACTCCATTGTGCTTCTCTGCAACGGCATCAGTTTCGCCATCCAGGTCCTCGTTTTCTTGATCCTCGGTTCTTTCGCCGATTTTGGTACATGGCGCCCCAACATCCTGATAGGGCTGTCCGTCATTGCTTTCGGAATCGGATTTGGCTGGTTAGGCGTTCATACCGAGGATAAATGGCACGCCGGTGTGGGTCTCTATATTGTCGGTCTTATCGCATACCAAACGACAATCACATTCTGGACTGCTGCCTTCCCTGGACTGGCAAGGAACACCAAGGAATTACGAGTCAAAGCCGAGGAGTTCGCCGATGGAACGATTACCCGCGCAGAGTACGATTTTGCCGATATGATGAAGCGAAACGAGCTCTCCAACACGGCGTTCTATGTTCAATCCGTGTTTGAGATCCTCATCCTGGCTGTTATCGTGGGCATCATGTTCGGTCTGCACGTCAATGACAGCGCGGAGAACAACAACTGGGGTCTCTCGGTACTTATCGCTTTTGCGACTGGAGTTTGGATCTTGTGCGCTCTTCCGTGGTTCATCCTCGAGAAAAGACGACCAGGCCAGGACCCAGGACGCGCGAACATAGTCCTAGCTGGTCTCAAACAGCTTGGATACGCGATGCGACAGATCTGGCAGTTGCGCCAAAGTCTGGCATATCTGGCGGGCTACTTTCTCCTCGGCGACAGTCTCAACACCACCGTGACGGTTATCGGGACTCTACAGAACGAGATTGTTGCGTACAACAGTCTGCAGCTTACCTACCTGCTTATTGTAGGTATCGCTGCCCAGGCGGTTGGCATCGGCGCCTTTTGGCGCATCCAAAAGTACTACGGTCTATCCACCAAGACCATGTTCATGGTCGTCGCCATATGCATCGTCCTTCTCGACGGCTGGGGCATGATCGGCATCTGGACGCAACGCTTCGGTTTCCATAACAAGTGGGAGGTTTGGGTATACCAGGCTTTCTATGGACTGCTTGTCTGTCCGTGGTACAGCTATTCGCAGACCATGATCTCCGAGGTCACACCGAGAGGGAAAGAATTTCTTTTTTTCAGTTTGTTCTCGATCGTGGGAAAGACGAGTGCTTTCATCGGCCCACTGGTCAGCTCTGCCATTATCGATGATACTGGCAACAACAGTAGTCCTTTCTATTTCTTGTTCGCGTTGAGCCTGGTTAGCTGTGCCTGGCTTTTCTTCTTTGTCGACGTTGAGAAGAGTAGAATGGAGCAGGAGACTTTCTTGGAGAGGGAGAAGAACACTAAGATGCACAATGAGGATGCTGAGAGCCTTACTTGATCATCTAGTAATATTCGAATTACCTCGTTCGCGAAGAGAATTGCTAGTTCGGTCGCTTCGTTTAAGCCGTTCGACAGACCCTGATCCTGATGACGACGATACCTGACCGCACAATGTTTCTGTACATGCGAATTCGACTAAACAAGACATTCGTAAGTAAGAGAACGGAAACACACTGCTTTACCCTTGCGCATCGCCGTGTGCTCACATTATTGGTCAGGCGGGGCCTCTACTCATGTTCACAATGCACGTGTCTCAAGCTCACAATTGCCTGAACCCCGGCCATATCTCTTGAAGTTCTAGCTATTCCCATCGTATCACGTTGGTTAACAAAATCATTCGACGATTCAGTCTTACCAGCCATCGACATCATCAAAACCAAACACACCACCCGACATCTGAACAACTACAGACAAACAGCAATGACATTAACCTCCTGGCTAACAAGCTCCCCCGAGCAACCCACCGATACCACCGATCCCAACAGCTTCGCCTCTCTCGTCAACAAGATGACCCTCGCCGCTATAAAGTCAGACGCCGAAAACAGCTACAAAGAAAAGTACCTACGACTCCGTAGGCAGATCGACTCAGACGCCGTTCACAACGATCTTCGCGCTGAAATCACCTCTCTCTTAGCCAACAAGACCAAATACGAGACTAAGCTCCGCGACACCGAAAAGGCGAAAACGAGCGCAGACATGCAGGTCGTTGCCCTTGACCTTGTGATCAAGGATACGAATGTGTACTACAAGTCCAAGCTAGAGACTGCAGAAGTGCAGAGGAAGGGGCTTAAGGAGGAGAATAGGAGACTGAGGATAGATGGGCAGCATATGAAATCTTTGCTTCTCGCTCATGGGATTCGTGTACCAGCGCAGAGTTCCACGAATGAAGACAAGCAATCTCCGGAATCTGAGTCTGCCCCCGAGCTAACGGATGATAGCGATATGGACGAAGCGGTTGAACTTAGTCTTGGCAAGCTAGCCACGGGTCCAGAGGAAGTGTGCCCGCAGTGGTATAATCATGGTACGTGTAGTCGGGGTGGTGGTGGTGATGCTCGCGGAGCGTGTGAGCTTGGTGCGCATCCATACCTGGTTGGATTTGGTACGCCTGTGAAGGAGTAGAGGTGCGTACAGCGATTTGTTTTGTGGCGGAGATGGCGAGTGGTGAATGGAGAAGCTGGCTGAGATGCGACGTACATGATTTGTTGGTTAAGATCTAAAGCCATCTCTTGTAGATTCATTCTTGGTTCGCCTGAAACATAACACGAACATCCGTTCTCCTACTCCCCCAGCACCTCTCTAACCCTCTCCTCACTTGGAAACCTTACCTCCTTCTCCGCAACCATATCAATCAGCTCTTTCACCCTCCCCCGTTCCTCCCCCGTTATATTCCCCAACCGCCGATCGATATCCGCGCCAAACCGCTCCCAGAACCTCGCGAAACCCGCCGACTCATCCTGCAGATACTGGCCCTTATTAATAACAAGGAAGTTCCTAAACGCGTACCACCAGGTTATCGATTCCTTTGGCACAATCACATCTTCCAGTACGTTCGTCTCTTGTGATGATGACGCTCGACCTGCATTGTCGAGCATGTATATGAGCTCGTAAGTGTATGAGCGGTCGGCTCCTTTTGCCATGTTGTCAGGGTCCAGGGTGGCGCGGTCGAAATCGATCAAGACGATGGTTGGGAATGTGAAGTTGGCTTCTTTGTTGGAGGCGGATACATCGAGCATTACGTTTCCGCCGAAGACGTCGTTGTGGGAGATGTTGGCGACGTCGTGGAGCCACCCAACCGCCTCTGTTAGCTGTTTTGCGACCTGTAGTATGAGTACCTCAGGTATCGCAGGGAGGGGACAACGGCGCGGAGCATCGTTTTCTGACGAGGGCTGGATTATCGCGGTGACCGCGACTCGAAGCCGCTCAAGATCGAAACCACAGACAGGACTAACGGCCAACCAGCCAGATCCGCCGTTCTTGATCGGATCGAAATCGATGAGGGTGGGAAGATGCTTCACCATGGTTTCGTTCTTGGCAGCAGTCAAAACGTTGCGGATACGGTCGAGAGCGACGATTTCGTCGGCTATCCTGTCGCGACACATCTCTCGACTGATCATCTTGACGGCGACAAGCGCTGCACCCTGCGCCACGGAGCTGGTCGTGGATGAGCTTGCAGCCGACGGTGTGTGTGCACAAAACGTGATACTTCCGCACGTACCTTTGCCTGCTTCGTGGATCGGGGTGTACAACTCGTTTGTCTCTTTGTAGATTGATTTGGGGTTCATGTCGTCGTCAGATGTTGCTGCGGGAGTGTACGCAGCTCACTGTATGCGTCGATCGAAGGGTGGCTCAAGGCTGGAGCCATAGAGTCTATGTAACGAATACGTGGAGTGTTGAAGCGAAAGAGCAGGGTCTATTGATAGTGAAAGGCACGGATGCGATGCTGCGGTAGGCAACAAGCAACGCTTGAGAACCCTTCACTACATCTAGCTCTGTTCAGCGATATTGTCTTGTAGGGCCTGAGACTTCTCACCGTGTGCATGTGTCGTTGCTAGGATCTAGCAGCTATCCGTGGTCACCTCGAAACACCCACTAGCAGATAACGGAGCTGAGGAAGCCGCGCCAACAAAGGAGTGAATCAGGAGTAAGAAACGTAGTGAACTCTGTCAATTTGAGGCATCAAATAGGTGCCCAAGGTGCCCTATGGGTCGTATTGTACATAGTCGCATCTTTCACGACTGCCTCGTACTAATATACATTGTTGGCTCGCTTTTGGCAAGCAAAGTGGGCTTCCAACAAAGGCCCTATCCTGACAATTAAGTCAGACTACCGCTGTCAACACAACAGCTCTTGGCATTGGTGGACGGGAAATGCGCCATGGTTCCTATCTGGCGGGCTTCGGCGCCCACTGGAGCTGAGTCCGGTTTCCTCCAGGAGCCTCCGAGATGTAGAGGATGCGCGAAGGAAGCGCTGCTATTGCTTCGTCGCGATGGATATAGAATTTTTGTCATGTTGACATGTCGCCATCAAGGGTTCAAGGGATCGAATTCCGTAGTGTCCTTTCCCCAAATCTCGATGTGATTTACGTCTTCCCTTCTCACAACTGTTACTTTTCTTATTGGTCCTGCTCTTTTCGCGTTCATGCTGTTGTCCTGGGTGTTCGGTGTCGACTCCTTATTTGATGGGTAGTAAACGTCGCCTAGCTTAAGCACGATGCTGTCGCCGTAGCCAACGTACTTGACGTTCTTGTACTCCGGTCGCCAGAACTCTGTTCCAATCGCGAAGGCATGCATCTCAGCATCCGTGATTTGATACGGCGCCTCGCTTGTGTCAGAGCTTGGGCGGAATAGAAAACGGACGGCCCAGAGCTTGGGCACTAGAGCAAAGACCTGGCGCAGAGACTCAAGCGGTGGCACTGAGCAAGCGAAGCCAACTTGCTCCAAGTTAGAGCACGTTTGGCAAAGTCTGAACAGGGCATCGTCAGATAATACCCAGCGATCTGAGAGAAGGAGATGGCGAATGCTGTGGTTGTGATTGGTTTGAATGGCCGCAATAAACTCACTCCCGATGCTGCGACAGCGTTGGTCAGTCGTGTGTTTTGGAGTACTGCTCGCGCTAGAGACTCCGATGACACCCGGCGTCATCGTGGACGGTGTTGTTGGGGTTGCAGCAGCGCTGGTAGATCTTGGTGAGTCTTTGCCTCGCCTGTTGCTCACAATGTAAAACCGCTCCATGCCCTTGAATTTACCTAGCATGACAGCGCTCTCTTTATCCGTATTATCGGTGCGCATCACCTTCAGGTTGTGAGGCGTTGGGTGATTACTGTGTATCCTCCAAGAGTCGTCGGCAAAAACGGTCATAGGGTCCGAGGAGCCCATGGAGTTGATCAGGGTGAGCTCTGTATTGGTGTCGGGGCGGATAACATGGTGGAAGCCATCGTCAGAGAAGCGGGTGTAGATGTTGTATATTCCCAGGTGCTTGAGAGGTATAGAATGCTTGGCAGACATGCAGCGTCCGAATAGCGAGTGCAGCGAAACCGACTCTTCGCCTACAGCCCTCATGCGCGGACTCCAGTGTAATGTGAGGTGCTCGAGCTTTTTGGAACCCAACAGAAGCAGCGAGATATCGTCGGGGTAGCAGAGGGGATCGATATCATACACGATCAGAGTGGTCAGGTTCGGAAGCGGAGGTATAACGGTGGTCGGCCGTGGTATTCGTTTGGTTTGACACCGAAGGGTGAGCGAGACAAGCGTCGTCCTGGCTGCGATGCCCTGGTAGACGGTATACAAAGGAGGAGTGCTCAGCTCCCAACTGGGCATATCAGCAGTTGTCCGATATGATTCTGGTACGACACGTACGCGAAAGCCTTGAGGTTCTTCATCTTGTCAATGGCGGCACGCATGACAACCTGCAGTATCATGCTGTTGTCCGGCACCCGCCCCTGCTTGTACTCCTCGGTATCATGTTCTCGCCAGTCGCCTTTGACCCGGAATGTCTGTATGTAGTCGCCAAAGTTTCGCGACACGAGCGTGTTGAGGCCCATGGCAAACGGGCTGCCATTGCCGTAGCCTTCTGGCCTGCCATCTACGTATCGTATCTCGGCGTACGAGTGTAACGTGACCGTCTCGTAGAGCCGCGGAAGCGTCATGTAGTAGAACAGACGCGATGTGCGCGTGATGCGCGCGAGGTCACCGACATCGTCGAGCTTCCGTGCGTGTTAGTAGAGCTCGGTTGGGACAGCTCGTCGCGTGGCAGGGCGCAGACCAACGTACGTGTGTGAGGATGAGCTGGATCAGGTGCAAGGGCAGCTCTTTCGCTTGCGCTAAGTTGCTATGCGTCCGCGCTGGCGAAGTGAACCAGGTGTGCAGCGGCGCGGCCATGGCTCTATTGCTACCCTCTTGCAGCAACAAGGCATCGCCCGAGAGACGCGTGCGCTTTGGGTCCGACATGTGGCTAGATCAAGGGGACACATGCGTGATACAAACAAAAAAGGGTCCGTACTATCATGGCGGAACTCACAGCTTCAGGGCGCATGCATATACGGTCATCATGGCTCATACGTCGTGCTGTCGAGGCGCGTCGGAACTTTTGCTAAGACGCCCGAATGCCCGCTTCGTCCACCACGCGCGCCCGCATTGGTCCGGCTGCTCCGGGAAGACTCGGTTCACCCATGTGATGATCGACACCAGGCATCATGTCCAATCACGTGCACTGCAATACGGCACATACGGTCTGCCTCAGGACCCTGCAAAGCCTCGCATTACTCTCTGTTTGGGTTCAAGTCATCGCTATCTGACTGAAGTATGCGTGGACCCCCTGTTTGCGTGCAGCCAGAAAGGCTCATGGTGGGCGGAAATGTCTCCGATCACCACATGCGCACCAGACAACTTAAATATCCAGCGGTTCCGCCCGGAGAACTAAGATTTCGGAGTCGCCGTTTGCACCGATGCAACTAAAGTCCGCTCATGACCTGAAGAACCAGGGCTGTTTGCCCTTGTATTCGTCCGCAGGAACTCGAAAAGGGACCTCAATCGTTCCGTCAAACACGCTCATCGGCGGTACGTCATCCTGCTTGAGACCCTGAAGCTTTGCCTCTGGCACAGGCATGACAACACCACACTCCCAGTTCCTGCGATGTTTCATTTCAAGTCAGTATGTTTCTCAGATGCAAATTAAATATGTGTTTTGCGTACCTAATGTTCAGACTTCCCATTTGTCCGCTCTTCAACACCTTTTGCCCACCCCACGCTGATTCGGATATATTGGCAGAGCCAACATAAACCCAAGCAAAGGGCTTCCCGTTCTTTCTACGACCTCGCGCGAAGAGCAGTTTGTTATGCGACAGCATGCCCCGTCGCATCGAGTCGTAGTCTCGCATGCATTCTCTTGGGAACGATGGTGCGTTGTAAGCCTGTCTTGTCAACGTAATAATACCGGCACCGTCAGGACCGCCCATGCTTTTTTCCACCGTTTCGTTGGTAGGGAAATATATCCGAAAGCATTCGCGTACGTTAAATTCTGGCGCAGTGTTTGTCCCGAACGACTTGCCGCATGCTGCGAGGCGAATGCGCGACAAGAAGGCATCGTTGATAGAACCGAGCGAGGATGCTGCGTAATCAAGCTCAATATGCTCGACTTCATCTAGATTGAGCTCTCGTATAGCGTGTGCGAGGCCAGGGAGACCCGTGGGATGCATTGATTCGGTCTTGTGCGAACCGCCACTATTTTGAATTAGTACTGGCCCCCGATGAGCATAGTTGAGGACATACATGGAGTGCACAAAGGCCAAATGACTAGTCTTCGAGAAATCGCATTTCAACAGACCGGTGATGACCTGCGGACCCACTTCCTGCTGCTCCAAGAAGTATACCAACTCGCGACCAAAAGGTGTCAAGTCTTTTGCCTCCGTGACAGTACCATCATGTCTTCGAGGGAGGTCTATCAAGAACACCGAGTTCTCCATGATGCCGGGCTGCCAGTCGTTTGCGACCTCGCCCCAGTCGGTCTGTGTCATGTTTGCAGTCGGAATCGCAATGCGTAGCTTGTCATTTCCGAACAAGAGCATGAATTTGCTGTGCATGCTGGCTATCATGCCACCCATAGGCGGGAAATGAAGCTTCATGTTCGGTACGCGAGACTCCCTCCACTCTTGTATGCGCTTTGCCTGGACGTCCTCGCCTCTGTGCTTGCCAGTCATCAGCCAGATCTGCTTGACCTTTGTCGGATCAAGTTTTTCGTATAGCCATCCCGAATCGTACTGAAATGAGCTGATGACTGCGGTATTGACTTTATCGGCTTCTAGTAATTCTTCAATAGTGATGTCGTCAGTTCGCGGGTACTTGGACGCAAAGGTGCGCTTGATCGCTCCACTGGGGTATTGTAATGGTGTTTCGCCTGAATCGCTTTTCGCGGCAGGCGCTCTTGCAACTTGCTTAGAAGGTGCCTCTGGCGATGCTTCCCGCTTCCTCTTTCCGAGCCTTGCGAGACGTTCCAATTCCATCGCTTTCCGATCCATACCCATGAAACCTGGAGGTTTGTCGACGACGGCTGTTGTTTTGGTCACACTCGTTGGCGGTGCGCTCGAAGCCGATGACTGCTGCACGTCATTATTCGCGCTTTCGTGCATCGATAGGGCAATCGCACGCCTGAGATCGTCGTCATCTTCGTCCTCAGTGTCAGACGTGAGGTCGATTGACTCGTGCTTATCGCCCGATGCGCCGCTGCGCGCAGCCCGAGGCGAATTCGCCTGTAGGGACATTGCCATCGCAAGTTTGAGATCTTCATCATCGGAATCCATGTGTCCAAGAGTCAAGAAGTGGTTGTTATGGGAATGTCGGTGATTGGGTAAACAAAGAGATTCGTTGAGGAGCGGAAGCGATCCGGCATGGCAGGACCTTGAACGCGCTGTCGCGAAAGCATGTGACCAAGGCTTGGCAACGTATATGGGTCATCACGGCTTTGAGCTCGGCCTGCTCTGTTGAACCAACGAAGATGCGCCTTCGTAGTGAAGGAGTATGACTAAAGCGTTTGTATTCTCCCATATACACTACTCATATTTTCTACAACAGTCGTTCACTTAGTTTTGCCGCCGACAGCCCCGCCCGTCCGCTGCACGTTACGAAACACCACCAAGTATCCCAGATCAGCCAAGATCCAAGTCACCATCATCACCACTGCTACAGGATTGACATAGTAGCCATGTGCCTCTGGCCATACCCACCAGACATATCCGTAATTCACTGTCAACCCCGACACACTGCCGATAAAACGGCACGCCCAAATGCTATACGAAGAGCCGCGACTGCTTCCTCTGACCACAAGCTGTGCCAATGACATGACGCTCAGCACGACCTGTGCAACCAAAGCAGTCCAGAAACCGAGCTCGTCCTTGTCAATGCCCAGATTGCCGCGGTACGCTTTTCCAACTTTTGGGTTGACGGGGTGATCGACATCAAGCCACCAAGAGCTCACAGCATACAACGCGATGCACCACCATACCAGCATGCCAGCAAAGATCTTGCCGATATTCTTGCCAACTGCTGGCGCATGTCTCCATTCATTCGCGCCATACGTGACAGCCGCGTAGACAATGCCCATGTCTAAGAGTCCCCATATGGCGAAGAGGGCCTTCTCCCGGAGCTCATCGGCAACGTATATCGCGAATACAATCTCCCACGCAAAGTCTGAACAGTGGTATACTGGGTCAGTACGTGTCATATGCAATTCGTACGGAGACACATACTGAAGGCGAGCGAGAAGAGGGGCATAGCGTATGTGCGGTCGCGAATGGACTGTCGCGCCATCAGGGCGTAGCAGATGGTGTACAAGATACCGCCAGTGCCGAGGAAAACATCGTTCGCGTCGAAGATGGAGGGGTCGACGTGCGCGGGCAAGATGTCAAGGCGACCCATAATTGCGAGTTTAGATCAGAGAAGAGATGAGTAGACGCGGAATGCGCAGTATAAGAGAGTTTAACATATATCGTGAGGGGTGGCGCCCCTGTCATCACGAGCCTAAGTAGCGCTTATGGTTAGTCCGTAAGGGTGAGGTGTCATTCGGACCGCTTCCGGGCTCCCGCAAACTTGTATACGCCGACCTTTCATATTCGTCCTACAGCTGCAATGCGACATTATCACATGCAATATGTTTGTGTGACTCGGTACATTGCAGTGTGATTTCCAACGCGGATATCATTTCGGCTTTGGCGGTCCTTGACTATCCTCCGTGTAGCGTAGACACAAACATGATGTGATCACCTCTCTGAACCTCGTACTTGTCTTCGCCTTCCAGCTCCCAATCTGCTTCGTTGATCAGAACCAGTATCCCAGGTCGTCTGAAGCTAATGTCAGCATGCCATTGTTCTCTTGGGCAGGAACATACACAGTATCGTCAAGCACGAAAAGTTCTTTCCGCGGATCCTTCATGACCTTGTCGCAAAGGTATCTGACAAGGAATGCAACATTTGCTGGCTCTCCAGACTCATCTTTCGCTGGTAGGGCAAGATCATACTTTTTCTGGTTGGCGAACAGGATCTCCAGACCCCCGCTGTAGAATATTAGAGAGGAACATCGCCATTTCTCAGGGCAACCAACCTACCTGAACTCTATCGTTATTGGGATCGTCTCATCGTTTGACATTTCGTCTCTGCTCGTCTGTGAGATGCTAGAGTTGTGAGAGATGCGGATGTTATCGAGATCGGTTGCGCCTGCTCTGCAGCCCTGAGCCAAATGTAGCTAAGCGAGGCTAGCGCCAAAGAAATCCTTACGGCGATGACTAGATGCGGTGCCTGCGCATATGCAACGCCTAGACCCAACAATGAACATATCTACTGAGTTCATCGCTGCAGGTGGCAATCGAAATCCCGCTGCCGCTGACTGGGATGAGGCCGGGTCGCAACTGCTAGCGTTCGGCGCAGACAACTGCATCGCACTCTGGGATCCTCAGGTGAGTCGCGGCTGGCCAATGACACAACCTTCACTCACCAAGATAGGACGAAAGTCTTCGTGGCGTGCAAGCAATTCTGAGTGGGCACACCAAAGCTGTGAACGCTGTCAAATTCTTTCCCACACAATTGCCCAATGTCTCAGTCCTGCTCAGTGGATCGGCGGATAACACAATCCGGATATGGCGAGGCCGAAGAGGCGAATCATTCGACTGTGTCAAGACGATTCCAGATCACACTCAGCCAGTCACCAGAATAGCAGTACTGCTTGGCTCGGACACTTTGGCAACCGGATCTTCAGACGGCACTGTCAAGATCTGGAAGCTTGTTCATGATGCAGACTTCGGATCCGTTGATGTCGAGCTTGTACAGACCATCACACTATCACCAAAGTACTTCCCTCTGAACCTGGCACTTGCGACTCTGGACGACAAATCTACAGTGCTAGCAGTTGCGGGAACACGTAGCACCATTCAAGTCTTTGTATCGCAAGATGGCCAATTCCAGCTTTCGGCAACTCTGACCGGTCACGAAGGATGGATACGTGCGCTTGCATTCACTAGAGAAACATCTGATTTGAACAGCGATTTGCTGCTGGCATCCGCAAGCCAAGACAAGTATGTGCGTCTTTGGCGTCTCCACCGTGGGGATGAGCTTCCTGCTGCCAGTACTGCACTTAACGACCCAGCGTTAGGTGGATTGGGCAAGTCCTTGTCGAACAAAGCACATTGGATTAGCTCTGCTACTTCCAAGTACTCCATTACATTTGAAGCGTTGTTACTGGGACATGAAGATTGGATATACCAGGCCTCGTGGAGACATCGCGAGGGAAAGCTCCAATTACTCACCGCCTCGGAAGACAACTCACTCGCCATCTGGGAGTCCGACCCCAACTCCGGTGTGTGGGTATGCATCACCAGGTTAGGCGAAATAAGTGCGCAGAAGGGCTCGACGAGCGCTACCGGAAGTGCTGGAGGTTTCTGGATCGGCCTTTGGTCGCCAGACGGAAACACTGTGGTATCCCTGGGGCGAACTGGTAGCTGGAGGAAGTGGACATATTCGGCCACTGAAGATATGTGGACGCAGCAAGTCGCCATAACAGGACATGTGCGCGAGGTCAAAGGCGTGAGCTGGTCAAGAGATGGGTCTTACATGCTCTCCACTGGTTCCGATCAAACCAGCCGGCTTTACTCGCAATGGAAACGAGAAGGCGCACCAGCATCATGGCATGAGTTCTCGCGGCCCCAAATCCACGGCTACGACTTGAATTGCATCGACGCGGTCTCCAACACTCAATTCGTCTCGGGCGCAGACGAGAAGTTGCTACGTATTTTCGACGAACCTAGAGGTGTAGCGGAGATGCTTCAAAATCTCTGCAGTATACAGGCGTCAACTACTGCTGAGCTTCCGGATGCGGCCAACATCCCCGTCCTTGGCTTATCGAATAAGGCTATTCAAGCTGTGGGAGACGACGAGCCAGTCGAGAACGGCGACGAAGACGAGCGTGAAGCCGTCGACCCTTCCTCCGTAATCCGCAAATCGACACTAGATTTCAGTCACCCACCATTCGAGGATCATCTGGCCCGCCACCTACTATGGCCGGAGACAGAGAAGTTATACGGACACGGCTATGAGATATCTGCTGTTGCAGTGAGCCGAGATGGAAGTCTCGTTGCAACGGCGTGCCGAGCCAGCTCTATCGACCACGCCGTCATACGTCTGTACGACACGAAAGAATGGCTAGAAGTCAAACCGGCACTCAAGGCGCACTCACTCACCGTCACAGCGCTACAGTTCTCACCAGACGACAAGCACCTTCTTAGTGTTGGACGAGACAGACAATGGGTCATCTGGGAGCGCAGCGAAGAGCAGTCATTATATGCACTCAAGCACTCGAATCCAAAGGGCCATTCACGCATGATACTGGGGGCTGCCTGGACACCTCTCGAGCAACCTACATTCATGACTGCTGGTCGAGACAAGAGTGTCAAGATCTGGCAGATCGCAGAAAATGACGTGCAACTCAAGGCTACCGTATCAGCAAACGCCGCTGTTACCGCCGTAGCTTGTAACGGCGTGCAATCGAACGGAAAGATCATGCTTGCCTTTGGTACAGAGAACGGAGCAATAGGCATTGTGAGCGCATCGCCAGATGCTTTGGATCAGGCACAGGTATCAATGGTCAAGGCAGACTTGGTCCCGGCGAAAACTATCAACCAGATCGTCTGGCGACCTGGAAGAGCAGATGGCGAGCCACAACAGATCGCCGTAGCAAGTGATGACACCACCTTGCGCGTCTTCAATGTTTCGGGTGAGGTATTGCAGCACTAGCAGAGAGCATAGCGAGGGCGATACATGGATGTCAACTGTTGAATAAACTTTACACTATTAGGTAGGTTTCGCTGGGGTATCTCGCCAAGAAAATGCACTTCCTTCAACCTCAATGAAAATAGTACAACTACATGTCCACCTCTTCGCTTAAGCGTAACGGGGTCCAGCCATCTTCTCAGGAAGATCCGAGGCTGCCATGCTAGGTTGACCCTTTGGGTACTGTCCGGGCGCCATGCGCTGGACCGGCTGCGTCATCTGTGGGTGCTGCCCGAACTGCTGCCCAAACTGCTGCATCTGACCCGGTCCTTGTTGCATATACGGGGGCTGAATTGGGGGCTGGTTCGGGTATCCTTGCTGGTTGGGCGGCATCTGATAGTACATGACCTGGCCCGGCTGCGGTTTCATGTGTGCCTGTCCTGGTGGCGGCACAACAGCACCATTACTGATCATGTTCTGCACGATTTCGGCAGCAAGCTTTTCGGCGTCCTTGCTGGTTGTGCGGCGGCGGTGGCGATGGCAGTCAACGCAAGCCCATACAAATAGCGCAAAGTGAATGACCAGGCCGAAGAATTGGCATACCACACCAGTCAAAGTGACGTTTGATCGATGATCCTTTTCAGCCCAAAGTTTGTTGATGAAGGCGTCCTGCTCTTCACAGCTGCTGAACTGAGAGGACTCGGAACAGTCTCGCGGAGCATTGACGTAGCTTGTATCCTGTTCCCATACCCATGTGTTGTTGGAAGCCAGGACGTATTCTCCATCATTGTACGAGGCACCCCAGCCCCATTCATCGAATCCATATAGACCCCACCGCGACAAGTACCGGAACGCTATGAGAGCGAACATGGCCGTTACGATAAAGCCAAGCCAGAGAAGAAGATCCATCGCTACGCGGAGACCTGGATGCACAGGTCGCTTGCGCACAAGGAAGACGACGATGCAAAGCGCGGCCCAGACTACCGACGCAGCCCATGTAATGAGACCAGGCCATAGTGACCAGTAGCTTTCGTAGCTGATTGAATAAGAAGAGTCCGGGTCGTATTCATTGTCCATTGTGGACATCAACCAGCCAAAGCAACCGATTCCGATCAAGCCTGTTATGATGGCAGCGGATTTGAGACCAAACTTGAACTTCCAGTATCGATCGGCAGCATTGAGCTTGTCGTTGTATGAAAGACGTTCCTCGGTCTCGGTCGCGGCGCCCTGTGGAGCTGTCGTGTGCGGGATCGACGCCGGGGGTGCCATGGTGGGAACACCCGGCGCAGGGCTGCTCGAGGGAGGCATTCTGGGCGAGTTCGCGTGCGCAGACGAGGTTGCGGTCGCGTTCGTCGCGTCGGACAGTCTGGCTGCGGACTTTGGAGGGGGCGTGGGGACTGGAGACGGAGGCCCTCCTGAGATCGCGTCAGGCGCCTGTGGCACAGCTTGCGGCTGCTGAGTAGAAGAAGAAGACATTATTAAAGTATTAACTAAGTAGAAAGCGAGTGGATGCGCAGAGACATGCGCGTGGGATGGGGTCAGACAGAATCTTCACAAACACAACGACCGTGAAGAAGATCAAACGACCGCGAACAAAATCAGGCAACAGGAGAGAACCTCGTCTGGATGCGTCCATCGTGCTGTTTGTGGCGCCATTGGGTGCCTGAGGCTAGTCGGCATTGGTGTTGGAAGTCACTTAATTTAGATGAGCAGGAGCGGAAAAACGATGATGCGGGCCGGCTAAGCTCCAGTCATCTCAGTCATCAATGCACGGCTCGTAACGACGCGCTTGTCAAAGCTTAATCGACGCGTGCTCCTTTGTCATTTCGCAATATCAGGGTAGTCCTTCTCAATCAAAAATGGGTTGGTTTGATATTAAGTACTTCATTGCTACCTAGTTGGCTCACCGGCGCCAACGCTTCGCGGAATACCGCCAAAAAACATTACATCGTAATAGACCTATATCGATCAAATCCTGAAGCAATCAAACTTCATACTGGGCCCGCCCACGAAGTGGAACAAGGAGTGACAAGTGTCGGTGCCCCATCTCAGTCATCTCAGCCATCACAACTCTACCTATGGTAGGTCGCGCTTAGTACATTGGGTCACCGATAGCGGTGATGGAAGCAGTGCAAACACCCTCCTTGCAGTAACCAGCAGGGGTCAACCAACCCCAAAGTTCTGTATTCCGTCAGCATCCAATCTGGAAGTCCCTCGTGGTATGTAAAACTTACCGACTTGCTCTCCGTTGGCGAAAATGGCACGTGCAATACCCGAAATGGTGGCGGAGCACGCCTTGTGGCCAGAGATCTGGTCGCAAGTAATAACGAAGGGGGCGGTAGCTGTAAGTTGAGGGATCTCGGCAGAACCGTAGCAGCGGCCCTCAGCGCACCATGCAGAGATGGTGTTGTTCATGGAGTACTTGTCGCCATCGACGAGCAGGTTCTCGAGAGAGCCGGCAACAGTGACGGTGCACTTGTGGTCGGTGCTGCAGACTCCAGACACTGAAGGGGTGTCTGTTAGCATAGGAAACTCAGGTGGGGATGGGGTAGAAGGTATACTTACAGAGACCGACAACAGTGCCGAGAACACCAGAAAGAGTCTTGTCAATGACAGGTGGCATAGCGGGAAGGTTCTCAAGAGAGAGTATGCCGTGGCCCTGAACCGGGGCAGAGAAGCTTGATGGCATCGTTGGCTGGCCAGTGGAAGCGGTAGTTGGCGCAGCGGTGATGGTGGACGTAGAGGATGCCTTCGCAGCAGAACCCGATCCGGAACCGACGCTCACATCCAACAGAGCGCTGGAAGTAGCAACACCAACGTTGAGGCCACCGAGCTTGAGGCCCAGGAGAGGAGAGGCATTTGCCGAAGCAATCAGAAGAGCGAGGGTAGTAGTAGTGAACTGCATTGTGAAATCCGAAGCTGAGAAGCGATTGATAGCACGAAACACCGAAGAGTGTGATGGCCGAGATGACTGAGAGGAGCTGATAGAAGAGCTGGAGATGATTGAAGCTGATGATACTGAGATGAAGGGATCTTGCCAGCTCTTTGTAGTCGTTCATGGTGGCTTGGTAGAACGACGTCTTCTCAAATCTTCTGTTGTTGAACCCCTGACGTACGTCAACTCTGTGCTAATTGAGGGCAACCGGTTCGCACTCCGAAGCGCCTTCGATTTCGATGCCAGAACCCAACGCCTGACGATGTTCGCACTACGAAGTTTCAAATCGCTGAGGCTTCCAGACCACCCGTTACAGATTCTCGATCTTCAGGCACGGATACTAACGTCGCTGATCTGCCGTTAAGCGAGTCCCTACGTCGGTGGTGTCCGACACGCAAGATCTGTATGTACCGCAAGCCAGATCTATCGCGTGGTCACTTAAGGTTTTGCACTAGCTGGGCGGAGCCGTCTCCGAGCGATGCGGGACATTTGACCCAACCAATGGGATTGCACCCATGTATTACTACGCAAACCTACCCGCCTCCAAAAGCTACTTGGCAATGCCGAAATCGAAGCCCAACGCGCGCTGTATGGGACCGCATTTGGCCAGACCACGTTTGACTAGTACTCTTTTGTCCAGACGGCACTCCCTTTTCGCTACCACTTACCTGGTCGCTGGTTGAGCTACAGACGCCTCGGCAACTTGCACCAACGCTCGACTAGCTCATGGCTATACAAACAGCTAGATTGTAGTATACCTAAGTACATCGTGGCTAATGTCTTCCAGTCTCGATTCGGTGATGACGATGGAGCCAGGCTTCAACGCATTCAAATCATCGGAGAGTCATTCGAGCTACTCAGAACTTCACTGCCTAATGCAACAACTTCACAAGATGGCGTTGTATCACGCTGTGTGACATGTTAGCTGCATCGTTTTCGTCTAACGAACAAGTAACCTCGGGAGGGTTGCAAAGTTACTGAGGTCTGGACTCCATGTACCTAGATTTGATGAGTGATCTCATACATCGTGGTAACATATCGCGGTAAGGAGATCTCGACAAAGTCGAAGTTATGAATTATAAAGTACATGACAAAGAAATTATACGACTATTACTGCGTCAAACCAGCTTCGTCCTTGTTAACTAGGTGTACAGGCGACAAAGAAAATATGCATTAAAGTATTGTACACAGAAAGATAAAACATCACGGTCCATTCGTCACAGGCACAAGTTCCTCCAAACCATCCGTTCCGTCATCACAAACACCAAAGTGGTCCGCAAGTGTCATACCAGGCTTGCCATCGCGGAAGCAAGCCGTGTTCTTCGTTGCATAATCCCTCAGCGCGGTCCAGTCCCGACATTGGTGCATCTGGCCATCACCAGCCATGCCATCGCCGTGACCATACAGCGGAGTGTTATCCGCATGGCACATAATGTGTTGACGCAGGGCGTCGAAACAATGCAAAGCGTGATGCGAGGGGAAGGGCGGGAACTCTTGGCGCTTCAGAGCTAGATACGAGGCGCGAACGATACGCTAGAAGAGAGTGGTTAGAGAAAATGCATAGGTACCTGATGTTTACTGAACAACAGAAGTGACGTACGAGGCAGTGGAGCTGATGGTAGGCTTGGAGAAGATACATCCCTTTACCAGGCATGCCGGGTATGTCCATAGAGGCAGGCCACTGTAGAAGATGTCAGTCACTGCTCATTTCAGTGATGGTGTCTTCGGGAACGAAGACCTGGTTGGGGGTCACTCACGTGGTTCTCTGCTGCGAACTCATGGTCAACTGCGATATGACCATGCGCAGTGTTGATGCTGTCCCACAGCGGGTCTGCTTCCGTCGCATTGGGCGCACCCCATGGCGTATTCCAATGAAAAGGAACATACGCGATAGGAAGAGACTCTACCCTAGCAAGGTCGTTGGGAACCTCAAGGGTGCTGGACTGGGCGAGGCTGGTCAGAGAATCTCCCGGGGTCGCCGTGGCGGCCACACCCGCAGTGCGCCATATGGCAATCGAGAAGCCCAATACACAGACGTTTGCGAAGGAAAGCACGACCAGTGCTATCGTCGGATAGTGTCGTCTGTGCGCCGAATCCGAACACGAGGCGTGATCCGGGGCGTGATCCGCCGAGGAGACGAGCTTGTACCGAGCGAACATGGTGTTGTCGAATGCGTGGAGGAACGATCGAGAAACATTGCTGAAACCTGCATATCAAATACTCACGATGGTCAGCGCTGCGCAGGATGCACGAGGCAAGTCCTAACGAAGCAGCGTGCAGTTAAGGTTCACGACGATGCCTCGAGGTGGTTAGCGTAGTCCTTAAGCATGCCGCAATCGCGCGAGGAGTTCCTTCCGGCCTCGGTCCGTCACGACCGAAAGTCGTCGCCTCACGATCTAGGTGGGTCTGCGAATCAACGCTTTTCCCCAGACTCGCTCCAGGGGTCGGATCTAGACCGAGGCGCGGGAGATCTTCCGCATGTCGCTGCTGGGAAAATAGCCATGTGCTCGGGGTTTATGTGCGTCACTTGTTCGTGCCCAACGGCGCTTCTGTGCCAGCCTTGCGCACGACTATCGAGCTGAACACCTTTGGGCCACTACCGGGTACCTAGCTAAGGGTGAGGGTGTAGACATGCAGTTTTTCTCAGAAGGAGTTCCCTCCGTCGTTCTTACCTGTGAATGCCATGTCCTACATAACCTCTCGTGATCACCACCGGTAGAACTCATCATCACGGCGAACCATCAGTCTCTCTTTAGAGCATATTTTCCTCACGAGTCCTCTCATCCGTGAGAGTATTTTCACTGGTTACTTCTTCCGAGTCCTTCGTTAAACCACCGCCAAGATGGGTTACACATACATCAACGTTACCTCCTGCCTTGCCACTGGCATCGCTCTTACCGTCTTGACTGTCCTTTTCGTCGCTCTGCGAATAGGCGTAGCGATACAAAAGGCCGGCAAAAGCAGAGAGACGCGTCTCAGCAAGCATCTCGACGACCTCTTCTGCCTCCTCGCTCTCATCCCAACCATCGGCGTCTCCACTGTTCTCATCTATGGTAAGCCTCGAGCCAAGCAAACCCAAGCCCTTCTTTTATCTGACTAGTTCTACAGGCGCTGCTAAGGGCATTATCGGCGGCCACAACGACCCTAGCAACATCGAAGGCTGGATCTACAGCACGACACCAGATCTAGTAATTTTGGAGAAGGTTAGTCGCCCTGTTCTCGGCTGGTCTTTCCTGCTCGACTAACACTCCGAATAGTGTGTGTACATGATTTTCATCATGCAGCCGCTGGCTATCGGCTTCACGAAACTCGCTTTCTTGTTCCTGTACCGTCGCATCTTCACATGGCCTGGTTTCCAGTGGACCTCGCTTGTGTTCATCGTCCTCACCGTTGCTTTCACCATTGCCTTCTTCTTTGGCTTCATCTTCGACTGCCGCTTGAACTTTGCTGCCAACTGGGGCTCTCTTGCTAGTATTGCGGAGAACTGTCCGTTTGGATTCGAGGCGACCATCACTTTCACGGTTCTTGATGCCGTGTTCGATCTCTGCATCTTGCTTCTGCCACTCCCATGGGTAAGTTCACACCAACGCGATTCAAACCAACAGCGGCTAATCATTGCGCGAACAGATCTGGCGTCTCCAAATGCCCACCGTCCGCAAGATCCAGCTGTGCGGTGTCTTCCTACTCGGAGGTTTCGCCGTCGCCTCCGCCATTGTCCGCATGGTCATCTGCATCAAGCAGAACACACCGTCCGCCGCCCTCGACGAACAGTACATCATGGGCATGCCCACCTACGACATCATCGGCATAACCTCGCACGGTCTATTCTGGACCGTCGTCGAGACCAACGTCGCCCTCATCGCCTGCTGCCTTCCCAAGATCCGATCCGTGCTCAGCTTGGCCGGCCTGGGAAGCATCATGATGTCCATGGGCTCTCTCCTCCAGAAGATGGGCTCCAGCATGGGTACTCAGAACTCCAAGAGCGCTAGCAATGGCAGCAACGGCAGCGGTCAGTTTAGCAAGCTCAGCAAGATCTCAGCTGCTACGACCGTTACGGTTGGTAGCACACCCCGTAGCCAGCTCGGTCACTACCGCTTGGAGAAGGAGCGCTCTGACAGCGATATCAACCTCGTTGACCTCAAGGGCTTGGGCAACAAGACTGACGCCGAGGCCGTCGCCTTGGAGAAGGGAATGTCGCCTGACTCTTACGAGGACTTGGAGGACAGGAAGTACCTTGGTAGGAACTCGCCCAGCAGGTTCTCCACGTGAACCGCACAGTAACGATGCGATATGATGCCTCTTCGGAGGCTACGATCCCAGATATACCCCCCAATGATTTATTCCAGCGTAGTGTAGCGAAACGTAGCGTAACATCTTAATAATAATCAAATACCACTTTCAGCATAATTCTTCTTCGTTGCCAGTGTATGTCGTGACGAAACACATCGACAATACGCACAGGTCGGCAGCCAGCCTCCACATCACGATTGTCAGTCACCGGAGAGAAAGAACCTGGAATAGAGCTCAGCACATAGCATGATTAAGTATCATGGCTTCATTGCATGAATATGATTGAGAGTCTGCGGAACAAGGTTTAACGCATCTGGTACTCATCTAGTGCCATGCCTTTAGCAATCTTCTTGATAAGTGCTTTCTTCAAGAACTGTTCTCGAGCGAGACTTCGAGTTTGCTGTAATCATGTTAGCTATATTTATTTGAAACGATGTCGCAGAAGATGCACTTACCTTGACGAAGACTTCAGTACTGACCCGCCCCTTGTCCAAAGCCCTACCCAATACAAACAAAGCGTCTGCAATACCCTTCTCTTCCGCAGCAAGAGTGTAGAGCTGCCCTCCGACGATTGTCGGCGCTACTAGGACATCATCCACGTCTGGTGCCTTTCTTCTGCGAGCATCCTCCATGACTCTATCTGCTTCAACCATGGCACCCTTCAAAACTTGTTCGTTTGACGCAAGCGCCGCGTCGAGCTGCTGCAGTTCGCCCAGTTCCGACTGTAATCGGGAGTATGCAGTCTGTAAGGCGGCTTGTTGCGCGCGGAGTGGTGCTACCGCAGCCATGTTGGAGGATACTGTTTGTCGGATCTGCGATACCAGCGTTTGGCTCAAGGCCCGAAGAAGGGCGTCCTTCTCAGGGTTTGGTGGAACAGGTGGTACTGGTAATGGGATTTGGTTCCCAGACTGTGACGGTAAGGTGACTTCCAGCGAGTCATCGAGAAGATCGATTGGGGGTTTTGGAGCTGGTGGCGCTTGATGAGGCGGTGCATGTGGGTATTGCTGGAAAGGAGCCTGTTGTTGTGGCGGGTAACCCTGTGGCGGCTGTCGATACTGCTGTGGTTGTGGTGGAGGTTGCCCATACTGCTGCTGGGGTGGTGGGCCCTGGTACTGTTGTGCTTGCTGGAAGTTAGGGGGCTGTGGGGGCCCTGATGTCGAGAACTGGGCAGCCGTTCGTTGACCATTTGGCGTCATGGGGCTCACAGGGCTGCCGTTCTGTAATGACTGTGGAGGGTAACCATGCGCGTGCATTTGCGGATGTTGAGGACCCGAGCCTGAAGTCGCTGGGCCTTGACCATAGCCACTCTGGCGATTGGGCGCGTATGGTGGACCTGAAGGCTGCGGCTGCCACCTCTGCGGCGCATCGTATCTACTGCCCTGAGACTGCTGGTACGACTGCTGCGACTGCGGATGTTGTGGAGGGTGGGGTGGCAGAGGAGGGGGTTGCGAGTATCGGTCGTGTGGTGTCTGGGGCGTGGAGCGGTTTTGTTCATGTGGCTTCGGCGGCTTTGGAGGGGGCGCTGGCGCTTGGTTCGATGGAGCAGGAGACGAGGATGCGCCGGGAGTGCCGTGTACTGAGCGGCGCCATTCGGCTGGCGGCGGGGGTACTGGAGGGGGTGCTTGCTGCTGCGGCGCATTGTATTGCGGCTGTTGTTGCCGCGACCGCACGGGTGGCTCTTTCGCAAAGACGCCTCTTAGTACGGCGAGGAAGTCGAACAGTGTAGATTTCTGCGCACACATCAGCTGTCGTAACCCAAGATTGAGCATTTCGCTTAGCAGCTTTCAGAGCGCATGCGGTACTCACATCCCAGTACTTCGCCCATTGTGCCAGATACGGGTGGTATATCCTGCCATCGGTGCTCACGTGTTGTCCGGGTCTTAGCACCATGTCCTGTGCCGGCGTGACGTATACAATGGGTGGCTCTCGGGGGTACGACTGAGGCACCCATATCGCTACCGGGAAGCCGTATGTTGCGCCGCGAAACGTGACCGGCAGCGTGCCGCTGAGAAGCAAGAGAAGCGCTGAGGAGCCATTCTCGTACGTGTATGGTTCCGTCTTTGGTGAAAGCGACGGGTCTGGATGTTGGTGTAAAGTTAGTATAGCTGTCGTGAAGCTGCGACGCATGTGACGTACAGTTGGACAGTGCCTCGGCCGCGTCGTGATATGTGCGATTTACGTCTGAGTATTCCTGAAGCATGTTAGCGCATACGATATGTATTGCCGCGAGCGGGATTACATTGACGAGAACGCTGTATAGCCAGTTGAGTACTTTCTCGCTGGCCATGTTGTAACTGATCGATGATAGCACCAGGTTAGACGATGGCCAATGGAGCACGGTCCTCACCTCTCCCAAGGTGAACCCCTCAACACCTTGGCAATGCCCAATGACTTGCCCCTCTATCTTTCACTTAGACAATCTGCGCATGCATCACACATAGAGGATTTCGTCAGGAGTATGTGTACATGCTCAATACATTTCATTATGTAGAGCTATTGCGTATGGTACATAGCTATGTAATCGTGTTTCTCGTAACCGCTACAACGAGCGTGGGCATTGTTGCCAAAGAATGTACGTCATTATATTATACAAGTTTCGCCGGGGTATCAAACAACTACTTCGCTCAATGCTGACTCCATTCGATCGTGTTGAGGTCGACACCCTCCTGCACGAGTTCCCACAACGGGCTCAACTCGCGGAGGAAGGTAACGCGCTCCTTGACAGCCTTCAAGACGTAGTCGATCTCTGAGTCTGTAGTGTAGCGTCCGATACCGAAGCGGATACTGCTGTGCGCGCTCTCGTCACTGCTGCCAAGTGCCCGCAGGACGTAGCTGGGTTCGAGCGACGCCGATGTGCAGGCACTGCCCG